AACGTAGTGAGAAATTAATTCATCGAGATTAGTTACTGTTTCAGTTGTGTTAATCGAATCACCGGAAAAATAGCAAAGGTCTGTATAATTATTACATAAATTGTAAGTTTATTTAGGTGTTAAATAGTTAAAATATCGATAAATATTGTTTTTATTAAATCGTTAATATCGTGGAAATGGCTTTATAAAACACAATTGTCTTTTATATACCGAAATAAATGATTATTTTAATTCACTTTAACTATAATTGGAAGACACTTCTGAACTATCCAAAGACTAAAAGAAGGAATTCAATTTTTTTGAAATATTTTCGTTAGTAAATTCTCTCATAAAAAATGGCGACTCGGTAGGTAATTAAAAAAAAAAAAAGAAAACAAATATCGAGTCACGTACAGTTTTGCTTATAATGCAGGAAGATGTATTTTTGCTTAATAAACTATTTCTTTATTTTCAACAATAAGTTGTATCGATTATTCTGTTTATTGATGTTGATCGTTAAATATTCGGTGAAACACCGGCAGACATGTTGCTTTTTTTATTAGAAAATTTTATTTTTATTTTATTTTCCCAACACAAGCTTTTTCGCCACAGCCACGTTTATGGTACGGTATAATCATTTTGTAGCCAGTCTAGCAGGCGGTCTACCGTAATTTTTGCGGTCTACCCATACATATTTCGTCGTCCAAGTAAATTTAAATACTTTGACAGGTGTCATATTTTGCAAAATTGATGTACTTGGTTGTGAAATATGTCTCACAAAACTGCAAATATTAAATTTGTCCATTTAAACTTTTTTTTCTATTTCCAAACAGATTTCTGTATAGTAAACATCAAAAGAAAAAGTCAACCTCCATAATTCTGATTCCTCCGCAATTCTCAATAAATTGAATTACTTACTTGCTCTTCCAAACATAAATTATTATATACTCGTAATACAGGGTGTCCCAATGAAAAGTAGCCCCTTTAAATACAAAAATTAATGGGCTAATAATTTTTAAACGCCTAATCATAAAACTTGCGGTTTTGGAAGATATATTTTAATTTGCTATAACTTTTTGTTACAGTAACACAAAAATTTCGTATCGCCTGTACAGGGTGTTTCATAAAAATCTCCTCTTTTAAATTCACATTAACCAAATTTTATGAAATAGAACATTTTCTTTTGTAGAATAATACATTTTTGAAAAGTAGAAGAGTATATCATTCAAAATACCTTTATATATACGGGGTGTTCCATTTAAACAAATTTAGTAACTGTGAATTTAAAAGAGGACAGTTTTATACAACACCCTGTATTGGTAATGCATAATTTCTGTATGACTGTAACAAAACTTGTAATAAAATAAGACATTTTTGAGAAAACCGCATGTTTTTATGATTAGGCGTTTACAAATTATAAGCTCATTATAGGGACTACTTTTCATTGGGACACCCTGTACTTGTAAAATCTTTTCGTTTATTTAATGAAGATACCTAGGTATATTTAAGTTTAAATAAATACTGGTACTACCCCAATTCTCTGTAAATTGAATTACCCACATGCTATTCTATAAATAATAACAATAACATTTTTTTTATCTAGCTTAATGTTGAGTCAATTTTCAAAATCTTGCTGTTGTACTTTGTAATAAATACTTTGTATAAAAGAAAATTGGGTAGACCACTCCCGCTACACTTATTACATCTATTCTTTATATTTTATAGAACTTTTATTATGCCTGTTGAGATAAGCTTCGGAATACTTACTGGTAAGTAGGCAACTTAATTTACATTTCTTCAATTTAAATTGACTCTTCATTACAGTCAGCGACAGCAGTTATGCGGATAAGGTCAATGATTTATCAAGTCCTAAATTAAAAGAAGAAATATTAAAGGAGTTTCCATCGGCCGAAATAAGCGCAATAAAAATCGTACCAGACGATTTGCAGGAAATTAAATCGACTCTAACAGAATGGTTCGACTTGAAAATTAACGTAATATTCACAACAGGCAATCTACCAGACATGATCTTTGCTATGATCATCAGTAGCTTGAAGATTAATCCAATTGCGATGCTCTCCAGACCCTTGAGCGGTATTAGAGACAACACGATGATAGTAAATCTGCCGGGAAGCCCCGAAATGGTTTCGGAATGCTTCGGTATCATCAAGGAAGCCTTACCCCGCGCTTTGGAGCTCCTAACAGAACAAAAAAAATCTGTGGTTTCTGGTCACGGAGCCATTCTGAGCGACTCAGGAGCATCCGTTGTCCCAACCACCAGTCTTAGTAAGGTAATTTATAAAATTAACAGCTTCGACATCAGCGAAGGTACTGTTACTCAATTCGAAGACTCAATTTGTCTTTATTTTCGTAGGTGAAACTGCCTCCATTAAGAAAATACCGCTACCCTATAATCGATGTTGAAGTTGCTTATGGTATTATTAATGATATTTGTTCTGATGAAGAGGAAACCACAGAAACGGTGTCTTTGGAGAGATCGCCTAATCGAATTGTAGCAGAAGATATTCGTGCTGAAGAATCGATTCCTTCATGTTCAACTTCGATTATAGATGGTTACGCTGTTAAAAGGAGCGATGGCAAAGGAATACGTGTTGTGAAGAATGTTGCAACTGCAGGAGATAAGGTGTGTAGATACATTTACAAGATTTCTAAAGAAAGAACTCATTAGAATTGTAATAAATGAAGTTTGTAATTTTGCAGCCAATCGATGAAGTTCTGCAGTCAGGCGAAGCGATAAGAATATCGATGGGAGAACCAATTCCTGCGGGAGCAGACGCAGTGGTACTATTGGAAGATACTTCAGTTGTTGAATATTCGATTGATGGTTCTGAAGTAATTAAGGTGAAAATCAAAAGAACACCCGACTACAATGAAAACATAAGGTAAGGGAACATTTTTAAATACAATTGTGGAATATCTAATAATTATTTTAGACCAATCGGAAGCGACGTATCGAAGAATTCTTTGGTTTTAAAAAAAGGCGAACGTATCAAACGCATCTCTTTAGAAGTTTTAGCGATGTTAGGAAAAAGTAATATTTTGGTTTATAAGTAAGTTGAATTAGTCAGTTTTCTAAAAGTTCCCTCCTTTACTGTAATACATTTTTTTCTAGACGCCCTTCTATAGGAGTCATATCAATTGGCAATTATATTTGTGAACCTAAAGAAGAACTAGCCCCTGGCAAAATCAAAGATGCAAATAAATTCACCTTAATTAATTTGCTTAAAAATTTCCATTATGAAGCAAACGATTGTGGTATAGCTAAAGACAAGTAATAATTAATCCTGATGTATTTGATCCTTTTTTAATACAATAATTTTTAGTCCTGATGCAATAAAGCAAGCTCTTGAACAAAGTTTTACTCGTAACGATGTTATTATAACGAACAGTTCAATGGGAGAATTGGACATGTTGAAACGGGTCCTCGTCGAGGATTTTCAAGCTACTATACATTTTTGCAGGATAAAGATGAAACCCGGGTAAGTCAAAGTTTCGTAATTTGAAAGATTTTAATGATTAAATGATTATCATTTTGTTATAGAAAATACACGACCTTTGCGACACTTATGTATAATGAAACATTGAAAATAGTGTTTGGCCTAACGGGTAATCCATCTTCCTGTGCAATAACTTGTATATTATTCGTTATTCCTGCTCTACGCTTAATGGAAAAATCTCTCTACGAACATTTTGTACCTATTTCTGTGCCACCAAATTCATTTAATATGGTAAGTAAAAATTTTGTTAACAGTGAAATAATTATATTCGAAATACGTTTTGTTTGAAATAACTAAGCTCCACTTTTTCCTAAAAACTTTATTTTTCTAATACAATCCGTTCGCTATCAGGAGATACTAATAAAACCTAAATTTGCAAATAATATGAAAAGTACATCAGGCGCGAATTAATGAAAAAAATCATAAAATTCCAAAACGTTACAGCTTTTAACATTGTATATTAGTTACCCACATAGCAATTTGACATCCTAAGCATATGCGTAGAATATCTTCAAAAAGAACAAGGATGTGCGAAGCATGTTCACAAACAATACCAAAACTAGTGCTATAAATAGATTGTGTTGCGCCCTGGTCACATGCTAGTCAGGTTTTCAGAATGTAATCAAAGATATTCTTATAAGATGCTGTGCATGTACTCAGCACTAAAAAACTTAAAGTGCCAATAAGCATGTGATAAAGAAGAAGCCTTATCACATGCGATTCAGGTTCATAGAATGTACCAAAGATATTATTATCAGATGCTTTTTGCATGCACCCAGCACTAATATCGTAAGTATTATGGCAGGTTGTTTTCACATCCTTGTCAGCTTTATAGAAGGTTATTAAAAACTTTCTTGCCAGATTCTTAGTAAGTGTTAATGATATTCTGTTCTTATCCATAGCATGAATAAAGCATTGCAACATAATTTTCTCAAAAACACGCGGAAAGCGCGTTTTTTGCATTTATTTAAGTGCGAAAAGTCGCACCCAACCCCAACAGTACAACCCAAGCCCAGGTTGTTTTTACATGCACAGTTAAAGGAATCTAGACCTGCTCCGATTAATCAAAAATGAAATCATCGAAAACAAACTGTTGGAAACCTTAAGAAGACACGAAACGATGCCAACGAATTCAACAAACCAAAAAAGAACGAACATTTTATTACTAAATAAAAACTAGAATGAACTAAAATAAAAAAACTTTATTTTTTACAATAAACAATTTAACTGTTGAAACCAATATAAAATAAGGGATGGACGAACAGTAAAAAAATTAAAATAAAACAGCGAAACTGCTTAAACAACTAGTAAAAACAGAGTCGTAAAATCCAGTAATTTAAAACTAATACAAACATGTTTATAAAAGCAAAACATTTTTTATTTAAAACCCAGTTCTGTCATTTTTTTTTCTTCAAACGGGTGTTTCTAATAAAAAAAACTGAACTGCAAAACAGATTCAAAAAATGCAATCACATAACAGAGACCAATACATACAAGATGGACGAACAGTTTAAAAACTAATGAACAACTTAAAATACTAGTAAAAACAGATAATAAAATTCAGTAACATAAAACTAATAAAAACAGGGTTTAAAACAAAACATTTTTAATTTTTCTGTATTTCATCAGCTAAAGCTTTAGTCTTCTTTTTGTCCCCCAAGTTTATCCTTTCCTTGGCTTTAACCAAAAAGGTTTTTATCACGTCTACTATGTTGGATTCTGATACCTCCATATATTGAATTTTCATAGCCTCTAGAAGAAACAGAATAAGCTTAATGAGCAAAAAACATAATGGCCCGCATTCAGCGACCCATTTTAACTTTAGCGTGACTCTAAATACGCGTCTCTAGTCCCTAGTTACTCCATAACAACAATGTAAAACTGACAAGTTAAAGACGCGACTTTAGAGTCACTCTAAAGTTAAAATGGGTCGCTAAATACGGGCCAATCCCTTTAACAAAAATTGTGTTAATGTCAAGGTTTGTCAGAGCCGTAGTTTTTATGAAGGGCCGTAAAACTTGTTAAAATACATGTACATGTCTTTTCAGTTCTAAATAAATAGTTGCCAATAAAGTCCCAACCGTCATATATTACCTAATATAGCTTTCGCCAGTTTCAGGCATTTAAATGATGCCTTTTTTTTTAATCCATCCCAAGAAAACATGATAGCAACTTCATTGCTTATCATTTTATACATTATTTTTCTCGTGGTTTGAGCATAATTTTGTCCTCCTATACGTTGAAACTCTGTTACCTAAAAAATAATAATAAATTAGCCTTCTGTATTATTCATAATTGAAAGTAATGTTTTATGTCGATAAAAATATTATTACTTACTGTTATTCTATAATTTTCCTCATCCTCAATCCATTCCTCAAATTTTCTTAAGTCTTCAATTGTGGTAAGCGGACACTTCGAATTTAAAGTATTCAATTTTAAACTATATTCTGATTTGGTGCAAGTGCCGGTTTGTCTTTGCAATTGAACAAGCACTGAAATCTCACTCATCATGTGTTGTAGTTTTAACTAGTTGTTTTATTTCGGAGAGAATGTTTATCAATCCATGTAATCACGACAATGAATGCAACATTTGTGCTACGCAGAAGGCCACTAAATTACCTTTTCCAAAGAAAAGTTCGTCACACTCAAAACAGAAATTAGAATTAGTACATACCGATATATGTGGCCCAATCGAACCAAAGACTCCAGGTGGTAATAGATACATTCTGACGCTCAAATATATCTACTTAAGAAGAAATCAGAAACTCAGGAGAAGATCAAATGTTTTGTTAGAGAAATGGAAAATCAGTTTAATAAAACAGTCAAAGTTATACGAAGTGACCGTGGGAAAGAATATTGTAATGCTGACCTAGAAGAATTTTATAAGAAGAAGGGGATTAGGACTCAATACACAGCTGGTTATACACCTGAACAAAATGGAGTCGCTGAAAGGAGAAATCGTACTTTAATTGAAATGGTGAGGTGTCTTATCTTACAGGCGAATCTTGAAAAGAAGTTTTGGGGGGAGGCTGCTATGACCGCCACAGAATTATTGAACCGGGTACCAGGAAAGAAAATGAATGTAACTCCATACGAATTGTGGTTCGAATCTAAACCTAATTTAGCTCATCTTCAAAAGTTTGGCGCCCCCGCAGTCTCTTTGATTCCGAAAGGGAAACGTAGGAAATTAGACAGTACCGGACAACAGTGTATTTTCGTAGGGTATGAACCAGGAAGTAAAGCATATAGACTTCTGTTACCACATGAATCAAAAATTGTTGTAAGTAGACACGTTTATTTTCCAGAACAAATATTGCATCCGGATAAAAAGAAGCTATCAACAATTGAACAATATCAACAATAATCTCATTGAACTTCCGTATCAGGAAGAAGAAGAAGATATAGGAGGGGAGACACAGTTACGAAGATCAGAAAGAACTACGAAGGGAAGAAGACCCATCAGGCTAATAGAGACAATTAATAAAGTTCAGTCCACAAGCGTTCGTGACCCTTTAACAGTGCAGGATGCTCTTATGTGTAACGACCATCTTCAATGAGAATTGGCAATGAGCAGAATTAGAGTCAATGGAGAGAAATAATGTATGGGAGCTGGTGGATCTTCCGAAGGGGAAACCTGTAATAGGGTGCAAATGGGTCTACAAAAGTAAAACAGATGATCACGGAATTGTCATTCGATATGTAGCCTAGTTATTCCAAGCACCACTAGTAGCCCAGGGTTATTCCCAGCGGTTTGGTGAGAACTACGATGAAATATTCGCTCCAGTCATGCACCCAGCAACATTTAGAGCTATCCCGCTGGTTGCATCACAGCGGGGGTACGAAGTACGCCATTATGATATAGAATCAGCATTTTTATACGGGTTAGTGCATCATGAGATATATATGAAACAACCACCTTATCACGCAGAAGAGGGCGACATTAGGGTATGTAAATTGAATCAGCGGATTTGTATACATACTTCGAACATAACACTAATAGAGAAGTAAAATTAAAGAATCTCGGAAGAATACATACTTATCTGGGGATTCAGATAGAACAGAGTAAAAATGGTGAATTTCTGTTGCATCAAGAAGGATACTTAAAAGAAAAATTAAACTTCTATAAATTAACTGATTCCAGAAGCAGCAAGTATCCAATGGATCCAGGTTATCATAAAGATGATAAGCACAATGAGAGTGAGGTCATTAACCAAAAGGAATACCGCAGCATGATTGGCTCACTACTCTACATAGCAAACAACACACGGCCGGATATTTCTGCATCTGTGGGTATTCTTTCGCAAAGAGTTTCAAATCCCAGATATAAGGATTTAACGGAAGTGAAACGGATTTTCCGTTATCTAAATACTACAAAGGATAAACGCCTTCACATAGGTAACATTCAGACTTCAGACATAATGAACATGGTAATTCATACAGACGCAGACTGGGCGAATGATCGGAAGGACCGGAAGTCAATTACCGGATTTATAATTCAACTTGAAGATGACCTTCTAGTTTGGTGTTCCAGGAAGCAATCAATAGTCGCTCTTTCGTCGATCGAGTCGGAATATGTGGCCATAGCTGAATCTTTAAGAGAATCCATTTGGATCGAGCGACTTTTGCAGGATCTTGGCGTTGTGATTGAACGTCCTTGGATTTGTTTTGAAGATAATCAAAGTAGCATCGCTGAAGCTTATCATGGCGGACTTAGTAAAAGACTGAAACACGTAGACATGAAATATAACTTCGTCAAGAAATTAGTAGAAGATGAGATAGTGGAATTGAAGTATAAAGAAAGTGGTGATATGTTGGCGGATATGTTGACCAAGCCATTGACAGGAGAAACTATTAAGAGGTTCAGTGACATTGAGCCTAATGAATAAAAATGAAGCAATTACTTGAAGCATTTGCTTATTAGCAAAAGCAATTGCTTAGTTAGCAATTGCTTTAAGCAAAAGTATTTGCTAGAGCTCGTTATGAATAAATTTTTAAACAAATGCTGCTTTTTCTGAAATCAACGTAGCAATTGCTTCCCCAACACAAGTCCAGACTTGCCGGCGTAGGTTTACAACGTCGTGATCCCTACGTCCCTACTCATTCTTGTTCCATATTAGTGCTATGTACGAACTTAGTACAGTTATATTTTTAAGAATATCTAAGTGTGTTACAGTGATTTCATAAATAATAATAATAATACTAATATGGCAGAGAGTGAAGAATTTAATAATAGTAGTGACGAGGAAATTACAGATAAACAAATGATATTTGTACAAAAATTAAAATTAGCTGACCTGGTACAGGAATATAAAGATATTTATAATATCACACTTACAGCAAAACAATTATCAAAAAAAAATAGTAATATGAAAGTTGAAATAAAAAAGAAATTTAATATTAATAAAACCGGTAATAAACCAATAGTATTTAAGCCTTGGGAAAAATTACTTTTGGAAATGTTGGAGGTTGAAAAGAATCCCATCTTTAAAAAAATACCAGGTAAAACATTTTTATAATAATATATTCTCTTATACAAAAAAAATATATTTTAAGGCGCTATGTCTGTTGGAGTCGATGAAGGAGTATTACTGGATAAATCCTGTACATCATCGAGTAACCCTTTTATAGCAACAGAAACAACATCGACTATTCCTAGAAAAAAAATAAAAATATCAAATAGCTTGCCTGAAACTGATGAGACCAAATCATTATCAAATGCTGAACTGCAACGTTTAGTTTTATTAGAGTAACTGAAATTATGTCGTATGCAACAGGAAGAAATTTTAAAAAGAAAACAGGAGAATGAAGACAAACAACAATTTAGTCAAGGAGAAAAAGGCAAAATATTTTATAATCTATAATCTTTTAAGTTAAATTTGTATTTACTTATGTTTATTTTTTTGCTTCAGAACTACCTGTTAAATTTATGTTTATTTTCTAGAATCTACTGTTGCTTTTTCAAATAACTATAATTATTTACATTAAGATTAATATTTTAATACTTACTCGATTATTGAAGAGAATTTGGGTTATTAATTCTCTCTTTTGTTGTCCTAATTGACGAATTAAATTTGGTGTTAAATTATTATTAGTTGGTATGTTCATTTCAAAATTAGTTTCATCATTGGGAGACTGAAAGTCTTCATCATTTAAAAACTTGGCAATATTATGAAGAACTACGCACGCAATTATTGTCGATGGTATTTTTTCTAATTTCCTCCTAACTTTGTATTGAAGGACAGGGAATCTTGCTTTTAATTGTCCAAAACATCGCTCAATAATTACCCGTTCTCGGCAGAAAACGTTGTTAAAATATTGTTGCTCTTCGGTTGCTGGATTCCTCCAGGGTGTCATAATCCAAGGCGATATAGAATAACCATCGTCTCCTAATAACAAACATTCTTCTGTGCAGTTTTTGAGAATGTTGTATATATTAGAATTTTTAAAAATTCTGTTATCATGTACAGAGCCTGGCCATTGGCAATCTACACTGGTAAATATTTCCTTAGCGTTACAAGTTAGCTGAACGTTTATGCTGGAGTATCCTTTTCGGTTTATATATTCATCACCGAATTCTTTAAATTTTGGAATCCGGACGTGTGTACAGTCTATCACACCGATAGCATTTGGAAAACGGTATTTCCCTGACCACAATAGTTTAGCTTTAACAACATTTTCAGTACTTTTAGGAAATTTAATAAACATATTTGCCTTTTCCATAACAGCATCCATTACAAATTTAGAAACTTTTGACACAGTCGTTTGATGAATACCGAGTTCTTCAGCTACAGAATTTTGGTAGCACGGATCCGACAATTGCCCTAAAAATATTTTCATTTTATCCAGACTTGATAGCGCAGCTCCGCGCTTTTCACCAGTCTCTTTTAAAAAATAATTAGCTAACCACTCAACATTTTTGCGGTGGTCAAACCGGTATAACTTTCAAAACGGTATAACTTTCTAAAATCCTCATCTCTACAATATTTACGTACACTATATATTTTTTCTTTACGCACATTCATATATTCAGCCATATTTAGCACAAAATACAAGAAACTGTATGCAAAGAGAACCAAAGTCGACTATTTAGCAAGCAAATGATGCTGCGGTTACCCTACCTTAAAAATTTGGAAGCAATTGCTATACTAGAAAAAGCAATAGCTTAATTTATTCATCAAATTTTAAGCAAATTATAGCAATTGCTTCTGTTTTTTAAGAAAAAGCTTTGGCTCAAGGCAATTGCTGAATTCCTTAGCAATTGCTTAAAGCAAAAGCAAATACTTCAGTTTTTATTCATTGGATTCCAAGCAATGACTTCAATTTTATAAGAAAAAGCAATTGCTTCACTTTTATTCATTAGGCCCATTGTTGGACTGTATTAATACATTTAATTTATCAATACAGTTTTTTTTAATAACGTATTAGTTGAGGGAGGGTATTGGATATTCAACTTCAACTAATACATTTATTTTTTTACCGGTCAATAAAAGACCACTTTGTGTATGACAGTTGACAGATGAAGTGTCTGGCAACTTCTTGTTTTTTGTTTTGTTGATGTTAAATTTTTTCTGCTGTCGCAGTTTAACGAGTTGTAATTTGGAAGTTCTGAATAAAGATATTTATATATCAAATAAAGTCTAACAATTTCGTTGCCATATTCTTTCTTTGCTTGTTTGTATTCCACTTTCAGACACTTTAATTGTTCTTTGGTCATGTTTTGTTTTCGCCTGCCACTTGTAAGTTTCCTTCTAACCTCATTACACAGCTTCCTCATTTCCCTGGTCTTATCTGTCCACCAGTATGGCAGTTCCCTGCATTTTTTCTGTGGTACTTTTTTCTGTGCCATTTTTTGAACCGTCTTAAGAGCTTTTATCGTCTTAGTTGGTTCCCCGTTAACCGTGTTTTTCAGCAGTTCCAATGTAGTATTGATCGTTTCTTTATTTGTCGATATTTTACCTTGAAATAGTGGCCTCTTCGTCTGTTTGCCTTTAATGTCCATGACTATGAAGCGGTGGTGACTCATCGATTCTTCTGTTGAGACTTTCCAGGTTTTCACTTTTCTATACATGTTTGCATTCGCTAGTCTTACGTCTATATAAGAGCTCAATTTTCCCCTAACAAATGTCGGCTTTATACCATCATTTACGGCTACCTGGTCATTTTCGGCCATTCATTCCATTAGATTGAGTCCTCTTTTATCATTTGTACTTCCACCCCATAGGTAACATTTGGCGTTTAGGTCCCCAATTATCAAAATACTTTTATTCCTTTCGACTAGCGCATTCGTCATTTTATTGTCTATAATTTTTTCATACTCCCCTTGCGTTACATTTGGTGAAATGTAACAGTTATATAATAAACAGTTGTTAAACACTACTTTGACATAACCTACTTCAGCGTGATGTTCTTTTATCCCTATGTGCTTGTTTATAACTTGTATCGCAACGTATTTGTTTATATCTGATATTAAATGCTTGTCTTTTATTATTTTCTTATTAGGTTCCTGTATACAAATTATGTCCGCTTTAATTCTATATGCTTCCGCTTCCATAACATCATGTGCCCTATATCCCCTCCACACATTTATTTGTAGTATTTTCACTCTCATTATTTCCTACCCACCTTTTTGCATTGCTGTCGTCCCACAGAGAGATCTGTTGCAACGCTCGTTATGCTTTCTACCCTTTTCCTTGTTCTCCTCGGTGGCATGCCCTTACTCCTGGCTTTATCAAGTAGAAGTCTGAAGTAGGGACATTTCGTTCGGTCCGCCCTATGTCCAGTTTCCTTGCACTTAGTGCAGAAAGACTCCTCTTTACACTCCTGTGCCTTATGCCCCTCCCGTCCACAGTTTAGGCATCTCCTTGCTTGCTTTTCCTTACTACATTCCCTCGTTTTATGTCCGTGGTCAAGGCAGTTCAGGCACCTATCTACAGTTACTTTTTCCATTATTATACAGCTTACCCATCCTATTTTGATAGTGCCCTCCTGTATCAGTGCCTTTGCTGCTTGTTTCGGTAGTTCCACTACTGCAGTTTTCTCCTTGTATTTGCCCTCCTTAATTGACTTTATTTGAACGTCCTCCTTCTCTATCCCTACTACGTCCCTTATCCCATTTTTAATGTCCTCTTCGGTCGTCGTCAGTTTAATTCCCGTGATGTATATTATCTGCCCGTATGTTCTAATAGAGACACTAACATCGTTACATTTAGTTACCACTTCCTCCATAAAACTTCTCGCTTTTCCACTTCCTTCTTCTAGTACAAGTTGCACTTCTTCCTCTCCAGTACTCCTTATTTTTTTGATGTTTACCTTGGATCCTCCATTCAATATCTACAGATGTTTTCCTGAAAATACATTCAAGAATTTTCCTGCAGATAGTCCTGTCGAAACCCTCAGAGGCTGCTACCACTATTTTATTTCTATTTTCCGCGCCCCCATGCTATACCTTAGTTGTTTTATTTTGTCATATATTTTATTCACATTACATGGTTCATCCGTGATGTTATGTGGAATCGTATAAACATATTTCGTATCCTCCGCTGTAGTGGTGTAAGCCATATACTTCATTTCATCCCTTCCTGGTTCAACTAGATCCCACGCGTCCAGATACCTATCCTTAATAATCTTCCCTAGTCCCTTTTCTTTCCCTCCTGGATCAATAATAATTGCCAGATCCATACCCTTGTCCGGTTTTACTGTATAATCAATAACCTCTTTAGTGCGAGAGTATACTTCTTCCGGCCAGTCATAATTTAATAGCCTATCCACGTCATCGAATGATTTATTGTTCTCTATTTCCTCTTCTAGGTCAATTTCACCGCAATTCACTTGGATTCCAATTTCCCTGGTAGTACCTTGCCCCGTATTCATTTGAGTTGCAATTGAGTTCCCAACCGTTTTCGTGGGTAGTTCCTTATTCCCCCCGTGCTCTTTCCACGGATTGATATCCTCCGCCAACCTCTTTATGTTATATCTCAGGTCCGTGATGATATCCTTTATTTCTCCTTTCGTGTTTGCGCTCCTTCCTACTGCGTCACCTAGCTTTGTAGATCATTTATTTACCTTTTCCATCATTGTGTGAATCCTCAGCTCTTCTTCCCTCATTTCTCGTTTTGACCTTGTGCCCTCTCTTGGTGTTGTCTCTTCACTTGTCCTTTTCCTTTTTGCAATTTGCCTCTCCTCTTTTCCGGTAGGGGTTCTTTCCTCATTCTTTGTCAGCTCGTATATCTCACTAGAACCCAATTCTTCATCTTCCCATTTCCTAGATGTTGATGATCCCCTTTGTCTTTGTTCTCCTCTAGGGGTGTAGCATTTTTCCCCTCTCTCTAGTTCACTGCCTGATCCTTTAGGCGGTGTTCTACGGAGTGCTCCTTTCCTGATGGTCATCCACTTCTCCATATCTTCCTTTGATTCTCCTAATCCTTTTTGTTTTTGTTTATTTTCAGAACTCATTATTGTCCGGCGCGGCGTTGCGCCCGTACCGCGCTAAGTCCTAGAATCCCCTCCGGGCGGCCTGTTCCTTCGGGTATCGCTCGCGACTCACTATACCCCCTGAGCCATGCATCATATCGGCGCGATGGTGCTACACCTTAGAATTGGGAGGATTTTTTTCCCAGGTTTACTCCTTCGGGTTATTTTTTTTCAGGGTTTTCCTTCCCTTAGCCAATAGGTTCCCGTTATGGCGCCGGAAACTCGCCTTTCACCCTTCTCCGTTGGCTACGTGACGCACTTCAGATGCGCGCCACGCATTACCAGGGTCCACCACTAGGAGGTGGAGAAAGGATTTGCCGGTAAGTCTTTTCAAGGTTATCTCAACAGTCCTTTTCAGGACTATTTCAACAGCGTTTTCAAGACTATAGGCCGCATATGGGCGCCGTTTGGGCGTTACTCAAAGTTTTAATGCTTCCCGGACATTGGCAATCCGGAACACCTCTGAGACCTAGGTACCAGCCATTCGGACCCGACTTATACAGGGCTTTTCACGGTAACCGTCCATTAGAAGTATCTCAATAATGAAAAGACCTAAAAATCTGAAATTTTGGTTGTAGTATTTTTTGGATAATTTGAATTCATCTAAAATATTTTCATTTTGATTACACTTCCGGTTATACCGGAAGTTGACACCAACTTCGTTATTTTATATGTAAAGTGCCATTTTTAACTTCATTTTTGAATTCTATGGCCTTTTTTAACTAGACTTTGATAATAACACCATATGCCAAAAAATGCACCATTTTTAAGTTATTTGGTTTTTTTTCGAAATTTTTCGCATTATCGATACCAAATTTCACACTTCTGGATGCATTATTAACAGAGATATCCTAGAAAATACGTTTGACCATTTTTCCAAAAAAATTCCTAAATTTTCAGATTCGTAACTCTTCAGGAACTCCGAAAAATTCTAATGCACGGCTACCGTGGAAAACCCTGTATATACATTAAAAATTTGTTTACTATATCGTAAATTTTTGCTACAAAAATTACTAAATTTCTATTATAGTAGAAATATTTGAATCAACATCACTTAATTTTCTTTTTTTAGCAAGCCTAGGTAATGTTTCGGGTGCTAAAGGAAAAGCAACATTATTCAGGCCGTTTTTAAAGCTACTATTAAAACTTATAATATGATCTTCACAGAGTGTCATTTCATTTGGATGAATGGTACAAAAACCTATAATATTAAACCATTTTTTTCTTTCGCTCAATATCTACAGAGAATTAAAAAAATGCTTTTGATAAATTATCTTCATTATATTGTAATATCTTACAAGTACCAAAATTAATAATCAATTATTCACAAACAATTTACATGGCCAACTTGTAAAAACGGATTATTTAAGAATAAGGCAGAAAAGTAAGTATTAAGTAAAATTTTTAATATCATCAAACCTATTAGGTTTAGTTATAGGGAAGTAAACATTAACTTCCCCTAATTTTTTACCGCTGATTTTAATAAAATAGAAAAAAATGGGTGGTTCCATTTAAAAAATTTGATATTTTTGAAGCTCAACTTTTTACAATTTTTAAACACACCCTGTATACAAATAGAAGATTTTCAACACAAGTTCAAATACCTTTGATCTTTCTATTAGCCACCCTACAAAAACCGTTTTCATATCTTTAAAGGAATCCCCGAAAATAATAATTTCCGGATCGGTCAAATTTAAAAAAAAAATTAATAACTCAAAAAGTATGCATTTCTGAGAAAGTGGTTTAGACACAAGTACCCAAAAATTTTACGTAGATTTAGAAAATGTATTAATATACAGGGTGATCCATTAAAAAAAAACAAAGTTGTCAACTAACATTGGTAGACAAATTTTCAAATTTTAATCGTCGTGACACACACTGTATACAGGGTGTGTTTATAAATTCTTTCGAATAATCTCGAGAGCCGTTCCAAAACAGCCCCAAAAACGCTTCAAAACCACTTCAAAGCCCTTTCAAAAACTATTCTACACCGCCCCAAAAACGTCTCTAAAATCGTTCTAAATCAACTCTAATTACGCTTTAAGAACCGCTTTAAAACTGGTTTAAAACGTTCTGCAACCGCCACAAAGAACTGTTCAAAAACTGTTCCAAAATTATTCCAAAAAAACTTGAATGATGCTATAAAAACAATTCCAAAAACTGCTCCTTGATCTTTTCAAAATCGCTCTAAAATAGCCTCAAAACCCGCTTTAAAACCTCTCTAAAACCACCCCTAAATTGCTCTAAAACAACTCTAATTCCAAGTTTAAATCACCCCAAAAACCGCTGTAAAACTACTCCCAAAAACCTCCCTAAAATCGCTCTAAAACCGCTTCAAATCCCTTAGAAATGCTACCCAATATTACCCTATCCTATACCCTACAAATTACCCTACCCTACGATTTACCTTACGATTTACATACACCCTTGGAATTTACCTTATAATGCCCTACCCTGTTCTGTAACCTACCCTTCTCACCTTACACAACCCTTCTTTTTCTCTTTTTTTTTGTTATCAGGAGCTGATGTTGCAGGGCGTAGAGCAGGATAATATGTATTTAAAGAAAATGTAATTAATAATTACAATTATTCAAATTTTTTTGTAATTGTAATTGCAGTCAGGTACAATTTAAAAAAGGCTTCCTGACCTCTCTCAAACTGATGTAAATACGCTTCTGTATTTTATACTCCAATTCGTAAGTTAGTATCCAATATCCAACCCCCAATTATAGTTGAAGCTTTTGGGGTTGTTTCTGGGGCGGTTTTAGAGCCGTTTTTAAAGTGTAATTAAAGTTGTTTTAGAGCGGATTTTAGACTGGTTTATAGCGATTTTGGAGCATAATAATTGGATTAATTTTGGAGCGAATTTTACAGCGTAATTAGAGTTGTTTTAGAGTGATTTTTAGAGAGGTTATTGGGAGCAGTTTTATAGCAGAGTGTGTAGTGTGGTTTTTTGGGACATGAATCTCAAACGTTAGTTTGGCGGGAACAAAAAAAATACGAATTCAAATATTAGAAGTAATATGACCCGTTAATAAGCTCGATGTTGGTGATGCCAGAATTCAACCCATAACTTTTACCACTAACATTCGCAATCCAATTAAAATACAAATAAAAGAAAACAAGCCTTAAATCATAAACAAAATGACGGTTTTATTCGTTTCTTCTTATAAAAAAAAATAAATCCGGTAACGGTATAACAGTTTCAGCGAATCAAACAAAATGAAAATTCACAACTTCATATGAGGTGAATTAGCCATTTAAGCAACAACAAATGCATTAAATGTCACGATACATAAAATTAAATAACGTTAAAGTTAAACAACAGCAATTTAACAAATTGAATTAACAACTCAAGAAATGAACGGATGTGAATGAAACTACTATGAGAAAAATTAAGATGTGAGATACAAAAAAAATGAAATTTAAAGTTAACAATAAAAAAAAAAAAATTAAATTGACAAAATCTGGGTTTTCTTTTCTCATATAAAACAGCAAATTTAAATTAAATACACTTTTTAAGCGGAGAACAAAGGCGGAAAGAAATCCCAAAACCACTAGGTAAAAGTGATAATTTAAAATTTTCGAAAGAAAATGTCGGCCATCATGGAGATGCCACGTGGAAAAGAATTGATATTACCTAATTTTGTCGACCCTGGGATAAACCATCGGGACGTTTAATACACCAAAGCCGCGCCTTACGGCTCTTCACGTTAAATTCAGCCAGCCATAATTTCAGAATCAAAAATTCAAAAATTAAAAATTAAAACAAATTTACACGTCTTTACCCGACGACCTCTTGAACCGGAATCCCTGTACGGTTCACAAAATTCTCGTTTCTCGAAGAATGACAGATGATGGACGTCCTTTCGGTTTTATGATCGATACTATTGACAATTTTGAGTTGGACGTCTGTCATCCACAATTGATTATTAAATTTTGACACATGACTTTTAATTGACAAGAACAAACTTGTTGTTATAAAATTCAGAATCCTACAATATTATTCAAAGGCAATTTTCCATGAAGTGCAACGTTTTCTTTCGATTACATTAACGGTTTTAAATAAAAATACAATCGGTAAATAATACATTAAATCAGGACCGTATTAACCACTAGGCCAAATAGGCCATGGCCTAAGGCGCCACGGACCAAATAGGCGCCGAGGCCGAGCAATTGACAAAAAAATATTTTTCGGGATAATAGTAATTTTTTAATGACAAAAGGAAAAATAAGCTAGCCGCGGTTTCTTGGCGCACGTGTTGAATAATCGACAAGGCCGCCTTTTTAACGAGCGATTCGGCTCGGGTTCGGCGGTTCGGGTATCTGTTGCCACTGCTACACCGGACGAGGTAGTTCTTGTTATGTTCGCCCACTCTCCACTGCCATTAAATCTCGCTCTTCTGGTCTCCCGGTGTAGTGTGTAGCAATGTGGCAACACTGAAGACTGAAGTGAGTGAACTGTGTGAAAATTGAGTACAAAATGAGCGAAAAAGGAAAGAAAAAACTTAGCGGATGGGACAGAAAAAAAATTGAAAATGAGAAGAAAAAGAAGTTGGACCAATTACTTACAAAAGTGCCCAAAGTGCATTCATTTTTTCTGCCACAAACTAAAGATATTACAATTACAACAGAACAAATCCCAATCCCGTCAACTTCTAGTGGCGAAAGTGTTATAGGTACAGGCACAGGTAAGCTTTTTTCTTTTTTGGTCCATTTTTTGGCACCATCCTGCGCATCCCTTCTCTTTGCTTTCTCTAAATACTTAAGTATCTACAGTATAGACAGTAGATATTATTTTTTTCTAGGCCTAGGCGAAAATATTAATATCTTAAACACTCCTGCTCCTGAATCTGCTAACACTAAAACTACACTTATTGAAAGTGTATTTTTACCTTTACCAAGTACTTCCAGTGAGCCCGGAAAAG